GACAATATTTATGAATGTAGGCATGTATGTATGTATATCTTTATATATGTATGGGTATGTGTGTATTTTTATACATGCCCTCCATGTATTTATCCATTTATTTTTCAGGTGAGCRGACAGATGTTGGGTGTGTGGTCCTGTGTTTTCTTGGTGTATATTTAATATACTTCTAATCGCTATTTCAATCTTTCTATCTTTCTAATTACCTCTCTCTGTTTGCCTCTCTGTCTCTATTTTCTCTTCACTTAAAAAAAGTCACTGATTATGAAGAAATAAATAAACTAAATAAACTAATATTTGGTTTCATTTTCTACTGAAGTGACAAAAAAAAAGGGGAAAAAAAAAGCTTCATGGTCGTCCACCATCTTCACTCTCTACACGTGTAGCACATGTATGTTAGCGTCTAACGTCTGAATCTGGTTCTTGTAGTCCCGGGCCCATGCGACCCTGAAGACCTGATCGACGGCATCATCTTCGCCGCGACCTACCTGGGCTGCACCCACCTGCTTTCAGAGAGGACGCCCACGAAGAGCGCTCGCATGCAGCAGGCCCAGGAGGCCATGAGCAGAGTGCGGGTGAGGTTACACAAATCAAATCAGATGAATTAGACCCAACTGTGACCATTTCAGTTCTTTTTTCCAAAGACCTCTATGGAGAAATACTCTAAAAAGTGCATTTGACTCCACGATGTTTACTGTCGCATGAGGGGGCTTTCAGACAAACGACAGCAGCAGCACAGCTGAAATAAGAAATTTATTCATTTATGACAAAGATTAACCAACATCTAGTATCACAGATGCAACGTTATCAGCTAAAGCAGCCTTTTGAAGCTTAAAGACGCCGTTTTATTAGATATATTTTCAAAAGTAAATAGTAGGAATGAATTATGTTGAAGTTGCAAGATTTAAATTTCCAAAAACAAAATGGTGGCTATGAGCTAAGACCAGCTAAACAACTACTAAAAGCTAAATATAACAAAAAAGCCAAAAACTAAAACCAGCAAAACAGTAGCTAACAGTTTGCTATAACAAGCAGCAGCTAAAAGCTAAAAGTAAGGCCACAGTTGTTAAAATTTGGAACCGATAAAACATTAGCTAAAGCCTAAAAATATTAGAACAGTAGCTAAAAGCCTTAACCAGCAAAATAGTAGCTAAAACCTAAACATAATAGTAGTTAAAAGTTTAATATGAAAAACAGTAGCTAAAACTTAAACAGTCGCTACAATCCAAAATTTTTAGAACACAAGCTAAAATAAAACCAGCAGAAGACCAACAAAATAGTTGCTAAAAGCTAAATATAATGAAACAGTATCTAGAACTATAATATGGAAAACAGTAGCTAAAAGTTCAAACTAGAAAAAAACTATTATAACATTAGCTTAAAGCCAAAATCAGCTGAACATTATAAGCTGAGACCAGCAAATCAGTAACTAAAAGCTAAAAAGATAGAAGTTGCAGAAATAGTAAATAAAAGTTAAAACTGAAACAGTTACTAAAATTCTAAGTTTTTAGAACACAAGGTAAAAAAAAACATCAGAAGACCAGCAAAACAGTAGCTAAAAGTTAAATATAACAAAACAGTAGCTAAAAGCTAAATGCAACAACACCATAGCTAAAATTTACTATGGGAAAAATGGTAGCTAAAGCCAAAATGTATTAGAAAAATAGCTAAAAGCTAAAAACACTGGAACAGTAGCTACAAGCTAATACCAGCAAAACAGTAACTAAAAGCTAAAAGTAGCAAAACTGTTACTAAAMAACTWAAACCAGCAGAACAGTAGCTAAAAGCTAAATGTAACAACACCATAGCTAAAACTTATAACTGGAAAAATGGGAGCTAAAGCTAAATGAAATGATGGGGCTAAGATTATTGTTAATGAGCTACGATCAYAATCGATGGTTGAATTTAGTTGTAAACAAATAATTTTAGCTGTTTTCTGACACTTTTTTTTTTTTACAAAAACTCTGAGTTTGAGCTTCATTAATTAAAATCACATTAAAAAATCAAATAATCTGACAGATTTATGGACGACAGAACAGAAACTGATTATAAAAAATAATGAAGTTTTGCTGCTTGGAAGGAAAATGTAAAGAAATTAATCAACAACGAGCAGTTTGGACTCGTCTTAATTCAAACTCCCTGAATCCGGGGTTAATTTAGGCAAACGTTCAGACGCCCCGGAGTCGTGACGAGGCGTCGGCTTCAAAACACGAGGTCCTCCTTCCCTCTCCAGGCTGCTTGGTGTCGCGTCGAAGCAGAGGGAGGTTCTGATGGGTTCTCTCTGCGGGGGCCCGGGGGTCCGGCTGCTGCTGTCAGACGTGACGGACAGCAACACGACCGGCCTCCCGCTCACATAAAACCAACCTCCGAGGTTCTTTTCTCTCTCCGGTCAACAGAGAATCTGATGTGAATCCTAAACGCTGGTTCTCCGCTGCTTTAATTATCGTGCTCTTCTGCTTTCTGCTCTCTGCAGGCCGCACAAAAACAGGCGAAGAACAGGAAAAAGGTAAGGTTTTATTCTGTTTTGTTAAACGTCACGGTTAGCGTAAATACTCTGGATTAAGGATCAGCAGATTCAGACTCGAGGTTTTCTCTCCGTTCCCGCAGAGCCCCGACGCCGAGGCTCCGTCCACCGCCGAGGTGGACCTGTTCATGTCCACGCAGAGGATCAAAGTCCTCAAYGCAGACACSCAGGTATGAAAATATCAACGTGCCTCGTTTAGAGACAGTATTCTTGGGATCAGCCCATCCGACACGTTTTAAGGTCCGATTGTTGGTGATGTTTCAAAAGCTGCTTCGAAAAAACACATCTTTTGATAGTTTTTGTATAAAGAACAAACTTCCTGTGCGTGCTTCTTCTGTCTGCGACACATGGAGGTACTTTATCTGTAGCAACACCTCTGAAAGCTTGAGGTCACATTTCACCGAAGCCATGAATCATCCAACAGCAGAAATACTCCTCGAAGCCTCCGTCACACCGGAGGACGTCTCTGTAAGATGTGCGTGGTCCTCAGCAGTGGATTAAGAACATAACGAGCAGAGCGTAACCCGTCTGTGGTGGTTTTGCACAAAGGTTGCCTGGACCTCCTTATTTAGTGACTTCGTGGCTCAGTCATTGAGAGTTTGAAGCAGGATGGGTTTTGTTGAACCTCAAGCCTCTGTTACAGCTGTCATTAAGAAAAGGTCACATCCTGATGATCGATCCCAACACGGTCCAAAAAAATAAAAATAAAATAAATCACACTTCTGGGATGCAGAAAACACCATTTTGGTGAGAACCACGAGAGTGTGGTGGTGTGACGGTTGCATTCGCACCAACAGAGGGTTTTCCAAATGGCAGATGGAGCCGGACGACTGCACCTTCAGCTGCAGTAATGAAGGTGTTGCTCCGGGTCTAGCTAGAATCCAGATTTTGGCTGTGTCTCGATTTGCATTGACGCATTTGTCAGCTGCTTACGTCACTGCCCCACAATGTAGGCTGTCCCAATTCGTAGGTGCCTACTCATGTGGCCGACAAAACCAGAAACCAGACTGCATCTGAGTATCCTACGCGGCCAACGGTATCCCAGGATTCATTCAAGCTAAACCCAAATTATTAATGCTTTTTATTTATTTACTTTGTAACATTTTTCTATTAAAACCGAATTTTACGGAGTTATACCTTGAAAAACACAACTGAAGTGATGTGGTCCACGTACGGACGCAACTTATTGATTAATGGATTAATCTAAAGTTGATTGATCTTATCGATCGATTAACGATTAATTGATAAGCAGCCATTTTCCTAAAAACTTGACATTTCTCTTTCTATAACATGAAGGGCTAATTTTTTTATACTAAATTTTAAAAAAGTACAGTATTATTTTTACATTTTATTGTGTGAGTAAACACCGACTGAATGAACAGAGAAATGTGGATTTCTCTCACTTTATTAAACTTGAACATATTTATAAAATATAACAAAACAGGAATCTGTTAAGTTGCTATTTGGGGGGAAAAAAATGAAAGAATAAAATAAGTAAAACACTTAATCTACGCTGAAGATGAAAAACTATAATTTAAACACAATATTTTAAGATAAACTCAAAAACAAACTAGGAACATCATAAAATATCCCAGAAAGACGTGAGAGTACAAATGAGTATTCAATACTCATATTATACTCATATATTATTATACATTATACAATACTCATATTATATTGGTAATTGTTTACATTATATCCCCTCTGCTTGTATTTTAGCTGGGCTGCACAGCATGACGCCAGTTACTGTTTATTAGATTGGTTTACTGGCCAGGTTATGTCACACAGAAGAGATTAACTTCAAGTTAAATATTTGTAGCGACTGTAACTTTTTTGTTTTTGTTCTTTCACACGGAGTTAAACTCAACTAGAAGAAGCTAACGTTAGCCACGGTTAGCTTACCGTTCTGTCGTCCTGCTCTCTCGTCTTTAGCGTCATACTGCTGGTCGGTACAACCTTCCGTACTTTCCCTTCAAGTTTGGTGTAGTCCATTATCATTGTTGTGTCACAAATGAAACTAAATAAGAGCTGTTAATTATGTTGCCGCCCACATTAAAACGGTTCTGCTCAGCTCAACAGGGCCGGGGGTAGAGCAGCGGCGCCCTCTGCTGGATGAAGTCAAAACTACACTGAAATAAGGTTCTAAACCAGTGGTTCCCAAACTTTTTGTCTTCTGACCCACAAAATATCCATGGCAAAAACTTGTGACCCCAAATATTACTGGTCTGAGTACATGAACTTTGTTAATAACCCTAAAAACACAGGCGTTTTGACAATCTAAACAGCTTACACACAAATATAAATACTTATTTATACTTATTTTGTGTTTTTGTAATAATTATAGGGAAAATATTACATCAGCAATTATTTTATTACCCTTTAAATTGATTTCTGGAGATTATCCAAGGTGCTTCATGACTCATAATTGGGTCCCAAGCCCAACTTTGGGAACCAAAGTGCAGTGGTTCCCAAACTTTTCAGTTTTTGACCCACAAAATAACAGTAGCAGAGACCTGAGCCCCCAACTGTTTTTGGATGATAAACAATTGTATCAGGTCAACAAAACATGGGCATAGTAACAATATTTTTATACTACATTTATCCATTTTAAATACACTAACCTCACTCCTTTGTAACAACTAAGGCAAAAATGTAATTAATTCAGAAAATCTTTTCAGGACCCCACCTTGATGTTTCGGGACCCCACTTTGGGTCCCGACCCCAACCTTGGGAAACACTGTTCTAAACCAGGGGTGGACAATCCTGGTTCTCGAGGGCCGCAGCCCTACATGTTTTAYGTTTTTTCTGGCTCCCAACGCCTGATTCAGACACTGATTTACCTTCTAAGTTCTGCTGTTTGGAGGACCGACACTGACATAATTATAAATAAAAGCAGAAATATATAAATGAACCACTAAATAAATAAATACACTTAAAATGCACCAATTCAATTGAAAAAGAACTTCACCTCATGTTTTGTAATTTAATTCTCGTTTAATTGATATTTTTTTAACAATTCAAATTTGACTGTTTTTTAAAATATATATTTTTCAGTTTTCCCTTTTACTTGTACATACATTTCTCTCTTAAATGTTTAAATTGAAATATTTTTATAGTTTTGTCCCACAAGTCTTTTTTGTTTCGATGTGTTGCAGGCGTGTGCTGCCTCAGTTTAGCTTAAAGTTTAAAGTTTAGTTAAAAACAAAGTAAGTTTTTCTCCTTGCCTTTGTTTTAAATTAAACTTTAAGCTAAACTGAGGCAGCACACGCCTGCAACACATCGAAATAAAAAGGCCTTGTGGGAAAAATATAAAAATAATTAAGTATAAACATTTAAGAGACACAAATGCATGTAGAAGTAAAAAGAAAAACAAAAATTGTGTATTTTAAAAACATTCAAATTTAAATTATGTGTTAAAATATATAGACTAATTTATACTAACATGGAAAAATAATTATTAAAGTCATTTCAAACAAAAAACATGAGATAAAGTTCTCCTTTGTTATTTTAATTGGTGCATTTCAAATGTATTTATTAAGTGGTTCATTTATATAATTCTGCTTTTATTTCTAATTATGTCGGTTTCGGTCCTCCGTACTGCAGAAGCCTGATAATCCATTCATTCATATCAGGTGTGTTGGAGCAGAGAAACAAGTAAAACACGCAGGGCTGCAGATGTTTTTAATTAATCGAATGGAAGAAATTTTATTCTAATAAACCATTATTCGACAATTAATCGTAAGGGGGCCATTCACAATTTTCAACATTAATGCAAGTGTACAAAACATACTCTTTTTTTAGCACCCCCACCAAAAGTGTACAAATAAAATGTTGATTTTTGCCACCTGATTTTATTAAAGCTGAAATATAAAACGTATGTGGCTATTTTAAAGTAAAATATTACTGTCAATGTTCCAAATGTTCCAATGTGACTTAAAGTGGATTAATTGTTAGCATCCCTAGGTCCGCGGTGTACCCGTGACTTGAGACACAGCCTGTAACGATGGTCACTGACAGAGATCCTGGATACAAGCCAATAAAACGATCATCCTTCAGAGGGTGGCCGAGCTAAGCCTTATGTTCACACCGAACGCGACCAGATGGATGGAGAACGTAGTGACGTCACCATCCTGTCTGAGGGAAAATAAATGTTTTGATCTTTCTTACAAACACAACATAAGCCGTGGGTCTACTGGTATTATTCTGGCCATCATCCAGCACTTTGTGTGTTTTTGACCACCAGGAGGCTCTGATGGACCTCCCGCTGAGGACCATCTCTTACATAGCTGATATTGGTAACATGGTGGTTCTGATGGCGAGGGGCAAGATGGTGCGGTCCCACAGCGCTCAGGAGAACCTGGACCACACGGCGGAGCAGACCAGCATGACCCACGATGACAGGAGGATGTACAGGATGATCTGCCACGTCTTCGAATCCGAGGATGTGAGTTGTGTTGAGGGATAAAAAAAAAGAGATGTTTTACAAACAGAAGGTTTATTGATGAAATGGTAAAGTACAACAGAAACCTAGTACTTTATAAATATTTATATAGTCATGCAAAGAAGGCTAACTCCATTTATTATTGCTGCAAATGACTCTAAACAAGATTAGCCATTAGCATTAGCTCAGACCAGCACTTTACAAACAAGCTGTTAAAATATCCAGTTTAATCCTCAGTGAGCTACTTACACGTTCCTCTTCTTATCTCTTCATAAACTCAGAGTTATTAATGATGTTTCCAAAGTCACTTACGGTTGTTTTTTTTTAAATGACAGCACTGTTTTAAACTCAGGCGGCCATTAAAACACAGCCGCAGTCACGTCCATTCCCCAGCTAATTATGGCTCCATAATCATATTTTGTTATTATTATTTTAATGATWATGTTAACTGAAAAGGCTTAGAATGTTAGAGTTAAGAAAAGTTGTGTTTTTGGCTCATTTAAAATGATAAAAATCCCTTAAAGTCGGCTTCTGTTGATGGTGCGTTCAAGATCAAACAGAAAGTCGGAATTTATACATTCCTGATAAACAGTAAGAATTTTCAACTCTGAACATAAACCTCTGTCTAAGAGTCTATTACGCTCTGATAGCTGTTTTTTTTTTATTTAAAGTTAAGAGACCTAACCGATGATATATTTTAATTAACAGCAAAGTGAAACTCATCAAAATGTATGAAGTTTTAATTTTTCATGTTTATTGAATGCAGCAGATTTTAAATTGATCAAACCTTAAAAAGCTCAAATAATTTACTTTATTTAGATTTCTGTGTGTTTTTAATTCATCAGTGACTTCAGACACAGAAATATATCATCTAAAATTTCCACTTCCTTTAAATCTTAACCTGTAACAGGATATGAGGCGTTTTATTCAATCAATAACAAGTCATTGAATTACAATTAGGAAAAACAAAATGTAAAAAAAATTAAATATAATTAAAATATAGAAACTGACTTGTTTTCTACGGAGCTTTCACATTTTATGAATAAAAAAACTGTTTTTAAAATAAATTTGTGGCAAAACCTTTGTTTTCTTTTGTTGGATCTGCAGAATTTGACAGGTTGAGACTCAAACAGGCTGATAAATATTGAAATATTTTGCACCAACCGTGTCCCACCTGYCCGTTTTATCTTCGTTTTTTGTTTGTGAGTTTCTGTAAGAGCGTTAAAATGATGGAATTAAAAAATGTTTGSGTTTGTTTTTAAACTGGAAGCTGAGTTTCTCCTCTCCGTCCTTTCAGGCCCAGCTCATCGCCCAGTCCATCGGGCAGTCCTTCAGCGTGGCCTACCAGGAGTTCCTGAGGGCCAACGGCATCGACCCCGAGGACCTGAGCCAGCGGGAGTACAGCGACCTGCTCAACACTCAGGACATGTACAACGACGACCTCATCCACTTCTCCAAGTCAGAGAACTGCAGAGACGTACGTCCACCAGCAGGGGGCACCAAACACCCAAACCGACAAACAACCGTCCTGCTGCAGCTGCTTCCTGTGTCCCTGCAGGTTTACATCGAGAAGCAGAAGGGCGAGATCCTGGGGGTGGTGATCGTAGAGTCGGGCTGGGGGTCCATCCTCCCCACCGTCATCATCGCCAGCCTGATGCACGGCGGGCCGGCCGAGAAGTCCGGCAGACTCAACATCGGGGATCAAATCATGACCATAAACGGGACGAGCCTGGTGGGCTTACCCCTCAGCACCTGCCAGAGCATCATCAAGGTACGGCTGGGGGTCCGCGCTCCGTTTGAACCAAGGTTGTAATAGTTTGGATTTTTCATTCTAGTTTTTTGTTTTTACTTTTTTATCTTTTAATTCAGTTTGAATTAGTTTTTCCAGAGGATTTGCTAGTTTTTATTAGTTCTAGTATTAGTTTTTTATAGTTTGAATAAACATATTTGCCAATGCATCCAGCTTGTGATGTTCCTGTGAGTTCACTAACCAGCAGCTATTTGGTCACTAGTTAAATCAGTTAAATCAGTTCATCATAGCGACACCTTCCTAAAATAATTGTGTAACTCAGTTTTATCAACTAAAATCTTGGTGATTATTTTAGGACGATGACAATAGTTGTCTCCAACCTGCTGCTTCCTGTTTGTTTTTCATGGAGCTACTGAGAGAAGCTAGCGTGTCAGACAGTCATAGTTAGCATCTTGTGTGAGTTTGATTCATGCAGTTTTTCCTTTGAGAAGTTTTCCACCTGTTTTATCACCTGTTTCCACTACAARACACTTGATTTGATTTTTCAGTCAGATTCTAAGAAATCCCAAAGTGGACGTTGTTGTTTTCTAACTTTTGTTGTCGTCATTTAGCAGCAGACTGTAAACAAGTGTTACAGACCACAGCTAATGTGAAACTACTCAATAAAAAAAAGRAAAAAATTGACAAACATTAAAATTAAAGGATATTCTATTTATAATTTCAGTTARTTTTAATTGTTTTGTAAAAAGATTATACAGTTTTAGTTAGTTATCGTTTTTTCATTTTATTACAGTTTTTACTTATTTTAGTTAACTAAAATGTTTTTTTAATTTCAGTTTTTGTTATTTAGTTAGTTTTAGTTAACTATAATAACCCTGGTTTGGACCATTCAGATGACAGGATGGAGCGTTATCGACGAGTCAGCAGAACCATCTTTGTGTTTTCAGGGTCTGAAGTCCCAGTCCAGGATCAAGATGAACATCGTCCGGTGTCCTCCGGTCACCATGGTGCTGATCCGAAGGCCAGACCTCAGATACCAGCTGGGCTTCAGCGTTCAGAACGGCATAGTGAGCAGAAATCATCCCTGATAGTTTGAGATTTACCCTCAGAGTCCAGCTGACCTTTGATTGATTCATTTATACACCTTTTAACAACTAACTAAGGTGACCAAAGAACTCCACAGATACTCACATCACATGGCTATCGTTGACACCTAATTAACACCTATTGTTAACAGTGGGTGGAGTGATACTGGCTATAGCAGCGCTGTAGGAGGGGGACAGCTGAAAACGGAGGCCTCCACCTCTGGACAGTCTTTCTTCACAAAAATGGCTTCTTTTACTCCTCTCTCAAACCAACGTTCCTCTCTATCAAGAATGAGAACATCCTCATCTCTGAAAGAGTGACCGCTGGCCTGTAAATGAGTGAAAACTGCAGAGTTCTGGCCATTAGATGTAGCTCGTCTGTGTTGGGACATTCTTTTGAACAGTGGTTGCTTTGTTTCCCCGATGTATAACTGGTCGCAGTCCTCCTGGCACTTAACAGCATATACAACATTGCTCTGTTTGTGCCGGGGCACCGGATCTTTGGKGTGAACCAGCCTTTGCCGTAATGTGTTTTGGGGTTTGAAAACCACTGGGACATCATGTTTAGAAAATAAACGTCTCAGTTTCTCCGAAACACCCGCAACATACGGAATAACCACTGGTTTGGGTCTGGGTTTGGGGTCTAAAGAAATGTCTTGTCTTAAAGATGCCCAGGTCAGAGGTGGAGCGATGTTCTAGAAGGGGGTTTGTTCCAGAGTCGGGGTCCTGCCACCCCAATGCTTATCCTTGTCTTTGGGATGTCCAATCAAAGCTGACCTGATGTCCCATGTACAGTTAGACATAAAGGTTCAGATAAACATTTTGGGGYCGTGCCATTAAGAGCTTTAAAAACAAAGTAAATTTTTAAAATCATTTGTAGAACGGACAGGAAGCCAGTGCAAAGAGGATAAAATGGGTGACGCTCACGTCTAGAGGTGCTGGCTAAAAGACAGGCAGCCACGTTCTGGACAAGTTAAAGTTTAAAGGTTTTACTTTGCCACTGTGTAACAGCCGTTATACAGTCCGGACAAGAGAGAACCACGTTAGTCATGCCTGGTTTAAGAGACAAGTGGATTTGTTAGTCATCTGCAGAACAATAGAAGGGACACTTTGTGCGCAGATATACTGTAACTTCTCCTAGTGGCAGCATATAAAGGGAAAAGAGAAGGGACCAAGGATGGAGCCTTGTGGCACCCCACACAACAGAGGTGCATTGGAGGATAAATTATTGTTCATGATAGAGAAAGTTCTGTCTGATAGTAGATAAGACACTTTAGTGCTGTACCACGGATACCAACAAAGTGTTTTAAACGAGTCAGAAGGACAGAATGGTCCCCGTGTCGAAGGCTGCAAGGTCTAGTAGAACCAGAACGACTGGACGCTTACTGTAACAAAGACAGCAATGTCATCATGTATTTTTAACAAGGCGGGTCCGGTGCCCATTAGGAAAAGGTAAATGAGAAATCAATCTAAATACCTTTGACTTCCTGAGTTTTTCTTTTCTTGTGCAGATCTGCAGCTTGATGAGAGGCGGCATCGCAGAGCGAGGCGGCGTCCGAGTCGGTCACCGCATCATCGAGATCAACGGCCAGAGCGTGGTGGCGACCCCTCACGAGAAGATCGTTCAGATCCTGTCCAACGCCATGGGCGAGGTGAGAACACAGTCGTTTGAGTTACTAAGAGATTAAATTACAGGAGAAAATAACCTCGTCTTCCTTCTGCTCCAGATCCACATGAAGACGATGCCTGCGGCCATGTACCGCCTGCTGACGGCGCAGGAGCAACCCGTCTACATCTGAACGCATTTCCTCCTCCTCTTTCTCCCCCATCCTTTTAACTCCGCCCCTTCCTCTGTGTCCCGTTCCACTTGCCTTAATCTGTACAGTTGACTGTCACGTAAACTCCTTCATCCAGTCTGACAGCAGAAGGCAATCCGTATCACTACACTGAGTGTTTCTGTGACTCTTTAGGTTYGACCAAAGACAACTTGTAGGGTTTTTGTGTATATTTAGGTTGCAAACAGAGACAATATTAGCTTTGGTCTAATAGCTGTAATATCTGAATGTACTCCAATCATGATGGACCTATTATTGTCAGGGTGACCCGAACGGTGAAGAGCTTCAGAGAGAAAAGGAAAATGCATGTATAATTCTGCAGAATAAACTGAAGAAAAGCCTGAAGCGGTCTGGTGTCTTTTGTTCAATGGGAAATTAACATCTTAACTAGAAAATACAGAAATCAAAATAAAACTAGATTGTCTGTGAAAACACAGCTAATAAACGTCATGAAGCTAAAACTGAGGTTAAATTACAAGAACAGTAAATAAACAAACTAGAAGCACTCAGAGAGTGCAAACCTCCGCTAAGGCCGTATGTTTGTGTGTGAGTGTGCGTGTTTGTTCTGTGTGTGATTTATTACATTTTTGGTCGTGTGTTTGTGTGCAAGTGCTTTACAATGACTAAACACGTAATAAATGACATGCTACAGAAGGAGTGGAACAGCATCAGAAAAAAGAAAACATTCAGCCATATAAAAACCAGAATAAACAATTGTTTAAGAAAACCTTAGCGTCATCTACTGGATAATAATAATCTACTGTTAGRTGGGTCCTCTCTAGTAAGAACACGGTTAACAGTAAATTTAAAATGCAGGAAACCCTAATCACATGTTCAAAAAAACCACAGGAGTTCCACAAGGTCCCCTGCTTGGACCCCTTTAATTCCGAATCTACTCCCACCTTTCGGGGCCCAGACTTCACTTGCATGGCTTCAGAACACGGCCGACATCCAACTTCATCTTTGTTCTTCCGAGTTTAAGGTCGAACTCCAGCTTTTCTTTAACAATCGGTTCATTTGTCCAAATTTTGATGCAAGAATCGTCTCAAACTACAGATCTGAGTCCATCCTTTCAGTTTTAGGGATTTCCATATCTGGGCTGCTTCCTGTCTCCACCATGTCATAATTTAACAAATAACAACAGAATATTTTTGTTGTATAACCTCTTTTTTTGTCACTTCAGTAGAAAACAAAACTAAATATTAGTTTATTTAGTTCATTTATTTCTTCATCATCAGTGACTTTTTTAAGTGAAGAGAAAATAGAGACAGAGAGAAAAACAGAGAGAGAAGTGATTAGAAAGATAGAAAGATTGAAGTAGCGATTAGAAGTATATTAAATATACACCAACAAAACACAGGACCACACACCCAACATCTGTCCGCTCACCTGAAAAACAAACGGATAAATACATGGAGGGCATATATAAAAACACACACATACCCATACATACAGTATAGAGTATAAAGATATACATACATGCCCACATTCATAAACACTGTCAGTACATACACACAGACATATATACACCCAGTGACCAGCCAGAACCCCCCGGATCAGAACACCCGACCATCAAGGTACGGCTGGGGGTCCGCGCTCGGTTAGAACAAGGTTATAATAGTTTGAATTTTTCATTGTAGTTTTTTGTTTTTACTTTTTATCTTTTAATTCAGTTTGAATTAGTTTTTACAGCAGATTTGCTAGTTTTCATTAGTTCTAGTATTAGTTTTATAGTTTGAATAAACATATTTGTCAATGCATCCTCCAGCTTGTGATGTTCCTGTGAGTTCACTAACCAGCAGTTATTTGGTCACTAGTTAAATCAGTTCATCATAGCGACACCTTCCTAAAATAATTGTGTAACTCAGTTTTATCAACTAAAAACTTGGTGATTATTTTAGGACGATGACAATAGTTGTCTCCAACCTGCTGCTTCCTGTTTGTTTTTCATGGAGCT